CTTAGTCATTTTGCTTTTTGATGTCAATCCGCCCAAAATGATAATAGTTGTTTTGGATTGCTTTCTCATAACAGCCGTTTGTGTTTATGTTTTACAAGGCTACCTTACCTCTAGTTTGACCTCTCTTTTTAAACTAATTTATAATTTTTAATAGAGAAAAGGGGCATATAAGCCCTTGAAATACTATCGATTCTGCAATTAGGCCTCTGAACCGGAAGTATATCCCTCAACCCATTGAAATCGGGCAATCAAGCCCTTTTTACCTATTGGTGCTGGTAATTTCTCATGAGAAAGTTATCTCCTTACCGGCACCAACAGGTAAAAAAGGATTTGATCGCTTTATTTCATTGGGTTGAGGAGTGTATTTGCAAGGTCTTCCGGTTCAAGGTCTGATTGCAGAATCGCTAATAGTTTGAGGGTTTATTTGCCCCCTTTCTCTTTTTAATAACAAAATGTAGAAAGAATAAATAAATAATAACATGATGATAATAATAATTCTTATTATTATGCGGAGTAGTATTTTCAAATAGGAATCATAATATACAAATACAAATAGGAATCATAATATACAAATACAAATATAAACAAATCCTCACTTAGTCCCAGTTTATGGTTCTTACCTGCAGTCAACTTAACTCTTTTTTAATTTTGATTTTGTCACCTTTTATCATATTTGAATTTGGTTGTTGCGGCTTAATAAAATGTTCAATGTAGTTTCTAAATATATAAATTTTAATTATTAATATTAATTTAAATATTATCATGAAAGAGTGATCATTGTGATCAATTATCCATCATAAATCGAACCAAGAACCTTAAATTAGGACGGGGCTAGTAAGAATAAATGAGAAAATCACCAATAATAATTGTAATAATGATAATAACCAGATGTTTTATTTATTTATCTAAATCATAAGATATTTTAAGAGTAGTTATTAAATATGTGAAAACATGTGTTCATATATCAGTACAGGGCAAGTCATTTTACATGTTATGAGCTACTCATAAATAGGTATATCCATAAGTGTTTCAACAAAGGCTAGTATTGCACAATAGACTACACAATGCTTTTAAACGAATCAGCTGATCCTATTCGCTCATTGCTAATCTACAACCCCAAATATTTTCATTCAGAAGTATTGCTTGTGGAGATTTCACATTAAGATACCTTTATTTGTAATGTTTTATCTTTTTGCTGTTGCAGGCGATAGAGAAAGTGAAGGTGGACAAAAATGACAAGCCATATCAAGATGTAAAGATATTAAATGTGACTGTTCCGAAGTCCTGAAACTAGTTCTCTCAACTGCAGCAGTTTCGTGAGGGTTGGATACTTGGATGTTTTCCATTGTTGTCCTTGCTGAAGTGGTAGGAAACACCTCCACGAACATTGAGTGGAAAACACAACACGATGGTAATGCCGGTTTTGCCCTTCAACTTAGTATTCTATGGATAACGGTCAAATAAGTTCCTTTTAACCACAAAATACTTCAACTTGTTTAAAACAAATTCTACCCTTTTTACATGTAGTGGCCCGTGACTATCGTTAGCCTGTTAGGGCCACCACTAGCCAAATCACTGTCACATCACCATCATATATCTTTCCGTCGCTCATCTTTCTGAATCTGAGAAGTTTTTCTGTGGTCATCATCTTTGTCATCTGAGTATAATGATTTTGGTCATTTTTATTTTCTTCATTTTATAAAAAAGAACTATCACATTGCTTTCTATTCCATGAACGTCCTTTGCCTTTGGACTACAGTCTGTTTTCTGACATGCTATGTACCATGACCGTCCTCTTTCATTGGAAAAAGGGAATCAGGAAAGAAAGAGAAGTGCAAAAAAGAAGGGCAAGATGACCACAATTGTCATGGTAGACGATAGAGAAGATGACAAGAGTAAAAAAAGAGAAGGAAAAAGAAGGAAAAGAAAGGGAAAACCATAAACAGGAAAGAATTAGATCATACATAGTCGAATCAAATCTTACACTCAAAGTCACAAACTCACATGCATATTCTAAAACTCGGTAGGCACTAGTTAGGTGGTTGAGGGGTGGGTGCCTAGTGCCCGGGTGGCCGATTAGGCTGTTTTTTGGCCGACTAGGCCGCTGATTAGTCCTCCACAGTTAGGGCCAACTAGGTCGATCAATCGGTCTGACTAGGCTGATTTTTAAAACAGTGACATATACTAATGTTTATAATTATATATATTTGTGTGTGTGTGTTCCTTTGAGATTTCCCTTGTGGTAATGGTATGTTTTCTTGCAGAACTTTGTCATCCCAAAAAACTTGCCTGTGCTATTTTGCGATGAAGCTGAGAATTCAAAGCAGAGTGAGGAATGCCTTAAGAAGAACAATATGGTCGCTTAAGTGTTTATAACCCTATACTGAAATTGACTCTCTGCTTGTTAAGTGGCACATTATGTTTCAGCCATGTACTTGGTGCCCAAATGCACTCATTGTGGATCCTGAATTTGAACATTCTCCCAAATTAACCACCCGAGACCTTAAAAAGTTCAGTATTTAAAATCTCATTTTACAAAATACAGTGCAAAATGATTGTAAAGGGTAAACCTTGCCTTTTACATTATATAGTCACATATGATGCAAAACCTGATGGCTTTGCCAGAGAGGCCGATAGGGTCGTACGTTTATTTCAAAGATATGACATTGAAACCATCTGCATGACTGCATGGTCTGCATCTACGCGTATCCTCCCTCAGTCCTCATGGTTGAAATCAAGGTTGTTGAAATCGCAATTTAAATTGTAGTAAAATTGTACTAATAATTTTTTTAGTGCAAATGGTTATAATATATTAATATCATTTATGAAATATAATATCAATAAAAATATTGAGGAAAAATATAATTCACGAAAGTGGTAGAAAATTGTGTTTCTATCAGTTGTTATTCAATTCAATGTGCTTAGTTTTTATTATTTGCTACGTTTACACTAAAATCATTAAATAAATCCGTTTTATGGATCCCAATTACCTTAGTATTATTTATTTTTAGGTTTGCGATTGCAGTTTTTAATAAGTATTAATAATATATGTTATGTAAAATTTTATGATGTATTATGCAATATTGCAATTATGGATGGACCTGGTCCGGTTCCGGATCCGGGCCGGGCCTGGGCGGGCTTTTTTTGCAATTCTTTGGGCCCGGAACCGGCCCGGGTTGCTACCAGGTCCGGGCCCGGTTCAATACTAAATTTTTTTTGCTTTCTTGTTATCTCCCGACCCCCCCCCCCTCACCCCCACCCCCCAAACCTCCCCAAAACACCCATCCCAACCCTAGGAAAAGAAAAAATTGAAAAAACAAAAAAAAATTGACCCGGGCCCGGCCCGAACCGCCCGGGCCGGTTCGCCCAAACCTGGCCCCGAGCTCGGCCCGCCCGCCCCGCCCACACGGGCTAAAAGCCCGGAACCGGCCAACCGGGCTCGGTTCGGTCTGGGCCCGCACAGTAGCGGGTCGGGCCGGTTCGGGCCCACACAGTAGCGGGCCGGTTCGGCCCGGCCCAGTCCATCCCTAATTGCAATCTAATAATTTGATTATGATTCTCAAAGTTACGATTTTAAAATACCGTGTAATCTGTTAGAACTTTTGTGTAGATGCAGACCATTGCAATCACGTCATGATGACTAGGGATTAGGGATGGACTAAACCGGGCCGCCCCGACCCGGAACCGGCCCGGCCCGTTACTGTTTGGGCTCGGACCGGACCGGTTGGCCGGTTCCGGGCTTTTAGCCCGTTGGGTGGGTCGGGCGGGCCGGGCTCGGGCCCAACTTTTGGTGAACCGGCCCGGGTGGTTCGGGTCGGGCCCGGTTCAATTTTTTTTCAATTTTTTTTTGCTTTTCTAGGTTAGGGTTCGGTGTTTTGGGGGGGGGGGGGTGGGGGGTGAAGGGGGGGGGTCGGGTGTTGAATAGAAGAAAAAAAAATGAACTTGACCCGAGCCCGGCCCGGTTAGGCCTGGACCCGGTATCAACCCGGGTCGGTTCCGGGCCCAACATTTTGCAAAAAAAGCCTGCTCGGAACCGGAACCGGACCGGCCCGGGTCCATCCCTAATGGACTCGGGCTGGTCCGGGCCCCGGGGTGATCCGGCTGGGCTTTTTTTGGTATGTTGAGACCCGGTAGCTACCGGGTCGGGCTTGGGTAACTTTTTTTTATGATTTCCTAATTACTTCCTACCCCCACCACACACCCCTCCAAAACACTCAGCTCAACCCATTTACCTCCCAAAGAATTTGAAAAAAAAAATGGCCCAGATCAGGTTGGGCCAGTTGAGTTTTTGGAGACTCAGAGCTCACCCCGAAATAATACGGTCCGGGTGTACAGGACTGGGCCTGGACCCCGGGTACCGAGCCGGTTGACTCGGACTTGGTCCGGGTTGGGCCTTGGGTGGGACTTGGTTTGGGGTTGAAGCCGATACCGCCGTACCGGCTCGGGTAGGTTCTAGGACTAGAGATGGACGGTAAACTGGACTGGAACCGGCCCGGCCCACCACGTCCCAGACTGGGCCAGACCCGGACCCGGTAGCTACCCGGGCCGGTTCCGGGTCTCAACAAATAAAAAAAAACTGTCAGGCCCAACCCAACTATATCCCTATCTGAGATCTCAGGTTGGCTTGGGTCTTATACATACATACATACTGACATACATACATACATACATACATATATATATATTTAATTTTGTTTTTCTTATTTATTCCTACCCCCCACGCCCCACCCCCAAACCACCCAGCCCAACCCACCTACCACTCAATCATTCGAAAAATAAATGAAAAGGCATTTTTGGGCCCGGTCCCGATCAACCGGGCCAGGCCAGTACCGCACAGTGGCGGTCTAGGCCGGTTCGACCGGTACCGGTCCATCCCTAATGATGACTGCATTGACCGGTTAAATTGTCGTTACATACTTGTTACTCCAACTCAATCAAGACTTACTTTATTGAATTCAAGTCTATTTCTTGCGTATCGATTCACCAGAAGACCTATTTCTTGCGTTCTTCAAAAGTAATGAATTAAATGTTTTTTGTTATGCAAGAGTTTGTTTTTAAAGGTGCACATTCAAAATTTACATGAAATTAAGATACAATTTAGTTTTTACACTCTTCCTTCATAGTTAAAGTGCTTGACCAAAAGTCCAAAATGGTCCAGAAATACGCCGGCCAGAAAGTGCAATTTCTCTTAATAATGACAATAGTAACAACATCTCTAATTCTCTATGCACGTCTATATTCATCTCCACAGTCACCTATTACATTTTGAAGATCTTTTCCCTTCTCTGTGACGTGTTCAATGTGCTGCATATCTTCTTGGTCTAGGGCAAGAGAGAAAACATCATTCGATTCCTTGATATGTTCTGATAGCCCAAGCCTGACACCTATCATCGATCCTGCCACACTAGGCTATGATTGCACACAAAAAATAAGGAACATGACTTAGACATGCTTAACAAAGGCAATACTCCCTCCGGTCCTAAATAAACTTCATACTTTCCTTTTTGGGTAGGTCCAAAATAAACTTCACACTTCTTCTCTCTTCCTTATTTGGTAAATTATCTACATCAAAACAGTGCAAAACAGTGTACTCTACGGTAAAGTCAAATTTATTTCCTTAATTTGTGTGAAGTCAAAGTGTGAAGTTTATTTAGGACCGGAGGGAGTATATTTTTTGGGGGAGAAAAAGACCAAATATAATAGGAAGAACCTGATCTAGGATGTATCTTACAGCAACTGTTGGAATGGAGACAGCATGTTTGTTGGCTATTTTTTTGAGTGTTTTAAGGAGCTCTTGGAAGAGACTCCACCCTCCCCAAGCATCAACCATCTGCAAAATTGCTTGAGTTTTATCATACAGTTGTTCATATACATTAAAGTTCACTTGCAAAATAAAACTTATAGTAACAAACTTACAAAAGTATAACTTTTAACACAAGAGCTATAACTTCCTATAGGATTTTTACTATTGAAAACTAGCAGTAAAACTTGCCAATAAGAAGTTGTATGAATTGACATAAAAGTGCAGTTATTGTTACTATAACTTACTAAGCAGGCCTTCAAAAATATTGTTCTTGAATCAGATATTTACCCTTTTGTACTTCTGTAGTGATGGAGTGCTCAATGGAGGACCAGAAAATGGAATCCTAAAGTTGGTATCAAGAAATTTTTCAGACAATAACCCTCCCATAACTGTTCCATACCTGCATGCAAGGAAAGTTAAAGCAGTGTAAGGAAATGAATTTGATTACACGTCATGGACATCCCGCTTTTATATGTTCTATAGATTTGTATCTAACTATAGAGAACATATTCTACATAATACTGCGTATCAATATTCCTCTCAAAAGTGTTCTTTTAGTTCACCGTCCAACGCAACAATCATGAGTCATGACTAATAACTATTGCTAGCGGTTAGTTGTAACAAGTTAGAGCATTGACCAAAGAAGCAAATAAATAAGTCAAACACTCAACCTCCGCTCTCTCCAACCTCTACTTTTATTTTAAGGTGAACCTTTCCCATTACAGCAAGCGGATGCTTACAGCTCGTTTGGTAAAGGCAAGATTTGCCCAAAATGGTTGAATGTGTTGAATAGGTGTACTATGTCCCCCATGTATAAGAGTACTACGTTTTTGGGAATTTCCTGAAATAAGAATAAAAAGGGTGGTTTCCCTAAATAGAAGTTGTGTACTTCCATACTGAAATTATACTACCATATTATGGCATTATCATGTATATTGTATTATCTCCATAATATGGCAGTATGGTTTTAGAATGAGTCATATTTAAGATTCTAATATTGCCATAGTATGATACTAAGATTCTAGGATGACAGTACTTTTCTTCTATTTAGGGAAAAATATCATAATTCCTATTTATGGAAGATACATACTCCCTCCGTCCCTTAAAACTTTGCCAAGTTTGACCGGCACGGGATTAATAAAGTATAAACTGTGTGGTTGAGGTTTGTGAAGAGGAGAAAGAATTATCTGGAACCACAATATTTTTACTTGAAAGGGAAAGTGACAAAGTTAATGGGACATCCAAAAAAGGAAAGTTGGCAAAGTTTTAAGGGACGAAGGGAGTACATTTTACTCCTGTTTACGGTAATTACAGTTAAATGAATGAGAAAATTATCTAAAAGGAAAGGGAAAATGAATTAAGTGATTATTTCTTCATTTTCATATATATCTACAAAGTAACTTTTACACTTGTGTTTTTATTAGCTAATTAAGCTAGTGTAGTGAAAAAGGGAGTGTTGGTACAAATGTAACTAATAAGCCAAATATATGAATATACCATGCTAGTAAATGGGTTTTTAGTATAAAATCATAAACACATAAACCAAAACAAGCATAATGCAGACCAGGTTTTTCTAATTGAGACCCTGACTCCCTGAGAATAAAATAAATAAAAATCATATGGATCCTACTTCCCAGAATAAAGTTTGAAGCATATAGAGAGCTAGTGATATATTGTCAGACAGGTAAATATGTCATACAACTAACAAACAAACACCACAGAGAGAAAGACAAAGTGAGACGTTATAAGTTTAACTCCAGATATTTGACAAAGCTCTGCCATTCTCTGTTGAGGACGCATGTCAACTATTGAATGTTGCACCTACAGAAGTAGAAAAAATTAATCTGAGCTACTAAAGCAGATAAACACATTGGATGCCTACATTTCAAAATTCATAAAGAAAACTAATAGAAACACTTGATGCAAATCATGCAATATATCCAACCTGATTGCTAACAACCGGGATGCCATTTTCTAAAATTATCTGTAGTCTGTCTGTGTCGAAGTTAGTCAAGGCAACGGTCTTAATCTTACCTGTATACGTAGTATGTCATAAACACTATAATTGAATCTAATAACAGAAATAATTGAATAGGTGTGACCTACACTACATGGCTATAAAACAAATAACCTTCTTCTTTCAGATCAGTCAGATGCTTCAATGCATCTAGGTACCCAGGATTAGAGTAATCCCACCTGGTACAAAAGGGATGAGCCAAAACTCAACTCGTAATTACAATGAAGAAGAGTAGAAATATGACTACCAATGAAACTGAAGCATGTCTAGAGATGCAACATCCATCCTTTTCCTTGAAATATCAATGCTTTTTTGAACGAAGGTCCTGGTCATTTTCACAGGTGGTGGCACCCATTTGGTAAGTCTGCATTCCACTTTAAAAGATTAGTGAATTGAATTGCTTCAAGGTAAATATTATGGCTATCTTTGGAATCTTGAAAGTGGTAGGGCAAAGAAAAAAGGCTAAGTTAATTATTTTTTATAATGTTTGGAACAAATTTGATAAATACTTTATAAAATTATAATTGTATGTAGGTTTCTTAGTCTTCATGAGATTCTGGTTTACTTAAAGCAAATACGTCTAATCTTTTTACAATCGCTATTAATAAAAATTTAGTAATATTAGAAACAAAAAGTAATAATGTCTTATCTTTTTACTATTGCTACTAATAAAAACATAAAATGAGTTCAAAGAGATATCTAAAATTATTTGATTGAACTCCAACCATTATTTGTTAATTGCACTCCCAGACTTTCTTCCCTTACAAATTTCCCCTGATGTCTTCCCTATTTTCTTTCCATAGCATTTTCATTGTACTAAACAGGCCCTACATAAGATTCTTAGTACCAGTCTAGCAGATCGATTGCAAGATAGATTTGTTTAACTCACCCTCTTACAGTTTCCAGATACTCTGGAGGACGTTCTCGGCGAACTCTGTTGATGAAGATGCCAAAAAGATCTTCCGCGGGCCCATCTGTACCGTAAATCACAATTACAAATGTAGAGCTTGGCAACAAGAGTATACGTATTTTGCAACACATTGACTGATTGAAGTTAATATAGACTTTATGATTAAACATCACTTAGAATGTTTATAATACGGGAGTATGTAATAAGGGAGATAGAAGAGTACAGTGGTCAGCCATGTCAAAGGTAGTGAGACCAGCGTCGGCGTGTTTGAGCATAGCCTCAACGGCATCGTTTCTGTCGATTGTGCCCCAGCCACCGCTAGTCTGCCACATCCCATTAAGGATTCTGCATATATCTAGGGTATCGTTTACAATCTTAAGCGTCGCCGTCCGGTTATTCGTCTGCGCGGCCTCCGCCGGCGCTGTGCAGCACCTAACCGCCGCCACTCCTCTCCTCTTCTTAATTCCACTGCAACCACCAGCAGTCCGCCGCAACAAGCCATTTCTAGAGGCAGAGCAGCTCAAAGGGAAGTTGGTGGGAGGAAAATTGGAAACAGAATGTGGCAAAGAGAGTCCAGTCATTTCTTTTCTCTTTCTCTTGTTTTTTTTTATGGAAGACAATGAGAGAATTTTGAACCTCCAACTCCAAGAGAGGGAAATACTTGAAATTTCAGTGTTGACCGCAAATCGAACATAGTCCCTCAGTTCCTAAAAATTCTTCTCCGTTTGACTTGCCACGCTTATTAAGAAAGTGGAATAAAGTGGAAATGTATGGTTGTGGTTGTGTAAGAAAAAGGTAAAATGAATGTGAGGCACACAAATTGTCCAAAATGGGAAAGTGAGAAGTATTTTTGGGAACAACCCAAAAAGGAAAGTGGGAAGTATTTTTGGGAACGGAGGGAGTAGTTATTAATACTAACTATATTATAATATAAATTTATTAAAATTATTTTTCAAAATATACTCAAAATATTTTATTTAATTATTGCTTAAACAACTGTACCGTTTTGTTATGAGAACTTTTCAACGGGACGACAGATAGTACCATATTAAATCGAAACAAAATCGAGTAAAATCGAACAAAATCAAACCGAAATAAAGAAATTCGATTAAACCTTAATGTATTATTAAAAAATAACAAATACATAGTACAAAGGGAACCAAAACCTAAAAATAGACAAACTTTGTACGGCTGTTCTGTACCTAGCAACATGATTGAGACCAAACGACGTCGCTTATCAATTGAGCCTTGGAGAGTTGGAGTATCGCCTGAGCTAAAAAGAACACATTGGACCAGCTACAAGAAGTATTCCGCCCTGATTTAGGGGCCATTTTTTGTGCCAATTTCTTCTGCAATTTTCTTCATCTGTTCTTCATGATCTCTCTGCCGATGATATGTCTCATGTCTCAATCCAGTCGCCCAAGTTCGCTACGCCCTCTATCTCTCTCTCCGTGCTGCTAATATAGCTGGTCCAATATATGCTTTCTTGAAATTTGATTCTCCAAGTTCCGCTCTTCAACTTCAGTAATGGTATCGTCTCTCGCCTTGGTCGGCTCAAAGGTTTCGCCTTTTGGTGTTATCTCGCCAAATGCAAATGCTTTTTCTTTTAGACATTTTCACAGACGAGTGGAAGGCAAATTTCCTGTGAAGAATTTACGCAACGATATGTGCTTCAGGCTAAGCAAGACCCATATATGTTCTCCATTATTACTTCAGAAGCCCTCAAAGAGTTTTTCTTCACTCGCATTGGATTGCACTGGTTCACACTCAAACACAAAGATCGACACTGAGAACAGGTTTTTGAAAAGCCTTAAAAATATCTCCCTGGAATCGATAAAATCAAGATTTTCCCAATTAACCCCTTTTGACGTTTGCAAGTGGTCTCTTTTGTTTTCATTAGCAATAGCAGCGTCAAACTGGACAGTGGGTGTACTTATCAGCCCATTCTTCTGGATGTACTTCAGCTTGTCTTTGGTGTTCTGGCCTTGGATGGTTGCAATTGGGCTAGCCATCTATGGGCTTTATTGCCTTAAAAAGCATTCTTGTGGCGAAGCTAACAAGTTTGAGCAGATTGCCATTGTCACCTCAGCTTTTACTTGGCTAACATTAGTCCCACCTGCCCACTTCAACGGCTATCTCGAGGGGTGGCCGTTGGTGTTCTTTTTCGTGTACCATTATTTCTTTTTCCTCAATGTGAGTGTTAGAAAGCGGCTTTATGGTGATTTATTGCCAAGGAAGCATGATAATAAGTGGGACATTAGCCTTCCCAATCGGCAAACGCTTTTATTCAGTTTGAGTGTTCTGGTTGGCCATTGGCTCGCAGCATTTGAAGGACCCGAGTTGAATCTCATTACAGGCGGTAGATGGATAAATGCAGGTATATGGGCTTTGATCATGATGACAATATTCATGCAATATCATTCTACCTTGTATTTGGCCAATTATTCTGAGAAGGTAGTGGTCCCCACTGCGGTTGTGCAGTTTGGACCTTATCGGTTCGTTCGCCATCCAATATATGCATCAACCATGCTCTTGTTTGCTACCTTTTGCATCACGTTAAGGGCACCTTTCAGCACTCTCTTTGTTGTTGCGGTATGCCTGGTGTACTATGGTGAAAAGGCTAAATTAGAGGAAGCCTTGATGGTAGAGACCTTTGGTGAGAGATATTTGGAGTATGCTAGGAAAGTTCAATATAGACTCCTTCCTTTTGTTTATTAGTTTTAGATGATATGATCTCTCTGCATGACCTTTTATCTAGAGAACGATGTCTTTTTTTATTTATGTAACTTGCCATATACATTCATTCTAATGCTTTTGTTCCTTTTTTCTTTATCCTGCTCTGCTCTCTCCATAGTGAGAGCCATCTGACCCATCTCTAATCACAAGTTGCAGCTTTGTGAATCTGAGGTGGTTTCTAACTTCGTTGTCTCAATCCCCCAGTCCCCACCCGATGAAAATCTTGGTTTTATAAAGTTTGTAATCCCATATAACTTTTTAGTCCAGCTTCTGTTTTGTGTATAATTTCTTATGTTCATGTGTTGCAATCACCTGTTTTGAGCCTTACAATTTGCTTGTGTAGCTTGAAATGTTCAGAAAAGATTGTGCACATCTTTTACTTCAGTGCCTAAACATTTTTTGAAACTTTGGAAATGAATTATACCTTGTCTATGATATTAGGACTATTCTAGCCTACATCTTTAACACCCTACACGGCTACACTAAGTGTAAGGATGATATGTTAGGAGACTTGAAATCTCTGTTGGAATTTCCCATATTTTTCCAAATGAACTGTATTTCTTAAGTAGTGATTTGTTTTGGACTTTTGGTTAGTTCCTTTAATTTATTTTCTTACGACTGTTAGCAAAACATCTTAATTTCACTAATCATCGTGGTGTTAGTCCTCGATTGATGGGTTATCTTGCTTAGCTAATTTAGCTGTTTTTTGTTTCATATATTAAGCTTAATAAAAATCCATATTTCCTATTTGGAAAAGTTTCCAAGACTTGTTGTAACTTGTGGCTAACTGTACACAACATGTTCCTTTGGCACTCCTGAAAAGGACACTAGAGGAACTCTAGGCTTGATATTAGTCAATGTTATTAGTCTAACACGATGGATTATGCATGTTCATCCTTTAATTACAAAATGGATCATTAATGACATTTGGAAGCTAGGTCCAAAGCCAAAGGCAGGCGCCACTGAAACATATGTGATTACATTTCATTGTCAAATACGAAGTATCTCTTCCATTACCTTTCCCCTGCCAATATTGTAGGGGATCTCTTTCTCATACCGATTACAGGACACAGTCTTGTGACCGGCCTGTTTCGGAACAGTGATCAGGGCTGAAAAATAATGTTCTGTGCCGGGACAAAAAACTCGGTCCTACTTCCTAGCTAGGCCTCAATTTTTGAGACTAACACTGGCCGATCTAGTCCCGGTTCCATTCCCACTTTTTTTTGTATTTGAACTATTGGGAAGCGGTTTAAAAGGGGTGAGAGTACATTTGAGAATTGAAAAAGAGTGGAGAGGGAGATGAGCAGTATAAAAATGTATAAAAAGTGAGACCGATGATAAACCGAAATCGGCTTGAAATCGGAAATATAAGTCCTCGTCTCGGGGCTCGTAGTTTATCTTCAAGAACTAACGGGTTTGGGAGTCGGTCTAGAACTTGACCGTGTCCATCCATGATTGTGATGAGATCATTAATAAAATGGAGATGACAATTTGATAAGCACAAACTTCAACTATACATTGAGGCGGTCCCCAAATGAGATGCAATGGATGATGTGTTAGACTAACCACAACCCAACTCCCTCAATAAATCAAATTTTCCACCCGTTTATACATATTCACTCTGTGAATTCAATTTTTATTACAATCCAGCATTGTCAATATATTCACTCATCAAAGTTTTTCTTACTTAAAACCTTGAATTCATTATTATACATCATTTTTTGCTAATTTTTGTGTGTGTGAATAGTTATGATTTTAAAAGTCAAACATTTCGATGTAAAAATAAATTAATTTGGAATTTACTTTTATTGTTGTTAATTTATACGGAATACCTATTTTTGAATTAAAATACTTAAAGATGTAAAAAGTATCCTACAATCTTATAAACATGAATAGAGGTAAGGGTATAATGGGTACCTTAAAAATGTTGGTGTAACTTTGTTGGTATATGCAAGTATCATTAGATATTAGATATAGGAGTTGTACCCGCACGGGTAGCTCAGTTGGTCGAGTGGTGGGAAAATTGCACCAAGTGACCAAGATTCGAAACCCGCAGCGACCGTGTGGAGGTTACAGAACCTGAAATAAGACTGGACCTCTGGTGCGCACGTGTATAAGACCTACCGCCGCTTTGCTGACTGAGTCACCGTGATTAAACTCCCCACCATCCTGTCGGGTCAGGGTGAAGGGCCTTGGGGTCGAGCATTCAACCTTTTTTGGACCCAGATATAGGAGTTGTACAACTTTGATTATATGCGTATACTTGCACAATTGAACCGTTACTTTGTTAACTTGCATTGTTGCTCCGTTAACTTCCTTCTAATACAATTTAATTGTCTAAATCTTACTTGACCCTTGGAATCCACTTGGAAGTGGTTAAATTTTAATGAGTCATAGATGAATTGGATTTTAATTTAATACTCCGTGATGAAAAGCACATTAATGGACTGTTTTAAATCCATCCAATATAAATTTATAATCTAAAATGAATTTCTCAAATAAACCATTTATCACTCATAAATCAACTGCAAAGCTTCAAAAATATTAATTTTGAATAGAGAATAAAATAGTCCAAGATTAAATGAGCAAGGCATGAAGACACTTGTTAATAAGGTTTTAGAGATAATTTTTCTAATTATATTCCATGTTCGTAAATTTTGTGCACATTAAAAGGTTTTTCCACATGTATTACCTTCCCAAAAAGATTGATCAAATTGACTTTTTTTGGTCAATGACTTTAAAGTTTAGACAATGATTTTAGGTATTATATTTGAGTGTTTTATAAATTTTATACTTTTGTGAAAGAATTTTGGGGAAAATAAAAAAAACTCCCCAAACTTGCATGTGTAATTTAAATACTCTAAACTTTATATAAAAACTTATTTTCACAGCATTTCATGTATCATTTCTTTCAAAAATGTAAATTTATAGTGTTAATTGCATAATTTAAAATATTTTAGAATTCATGAAGACATAATTAATATTCTAAACATCTATTGTGAAATAAATAAGGTTGCCCTCAATCTATATAATTGCAACATTTTAAATTTGCTATTTTAAATTATGCAATTAACCCCATACATTTAAATTTTTGAAAGAAATAATACATGACAATGGTGCGAAAATACCATTTTATATAAAGTTTGAGGTATTTAAATTACATGTGCAAGTTTGGGGTGTTTACGTCACACCCCTTCAAAGTTTGGGATATTTTTATTATTTTTCTCAAGAATTTTTAATAAATAATATGCACATATAATTTTAATATTTTAAATATTTTTGTATTAAAAAATATCATTGATCAAACTAGATACTCCTTCCGAGTTTTAAAGTTTGCTACATTTTTTATTTTTGATGTATTTATAAGTTTGTTACGTTTTCCCTTTTTGTAAATTTTTCCTTTGAATATACTCAATTACCCTTACGTTTTCTATTTTTTATCCTCTTTTCTATATTTTCCACCATCTCTACTATTTTTTCTATACTATTCATTACTCTTACTATTTCATCCTTAAATAATGTGCACGAACTTATTATAGTAGACTTTTAAATACGGAGTATATTTTAATCTTATTAAGTTTTTTACGTGTGGAATGAGAAAAAAAAGTCTTACCCTTCTTCGGATTTGCATGTTTTTTTTTTGTGGTCTTTCATTATGAAGGAATGTTAAATACCGTATTGCTTGGTAACTATAACTGTCAACAGGTACACTTTTAAAAGTAATTGAACTTACTCATGATACAATACACATGTTTTCTAACAAAAAATACATTGGGCAATTTCTAATCACGCAACACGCGTGTAAAGGACTAGTTTTAACATAAGATCTTTATTTTAGCACTTTGATGTAGTTAAAAAAATTGCACATAAAAATATCCAGCAGATGAAATTCATATTTTTTGTAGAAACTTTATATATGCTACATTGATGTCAAATGAAAGATCTTAAAAATCCGTTTGATACATTTTTTATAAAAATCGAAGTACAAATAAAAAAGTTAAAATACATTAAAGAAAGTTGAGATTTTTAATATTGCAGGACCCACACTTCTGAAATAACATGGGCACAACAAATCCTCCCAATGGGTGTCGTGTAGTCACTTTGGCACTCATGAATACATGGGGTGATGCAAATTTGAGGGTGAAAACCTCAAATTAGGTTTTCAAAGTTAGGATTGCGGGCAACCTTAGGATGATTTTAATTAGATTAATTGGTTTCGGTCTCAAACCATATCAGATCAGACTAGACATAAAAAGAATGCATCAGATTATACAAGATCAGGCATACTTCTGCAGTTGTAAAATGCACATTGAACAACATCTATTAGACCGGACTTAGACCAGATTATACCAATCACAAAATTACAATTTAATTAAAAACATCCTTAGTGGTATAAGTCATGGTTGTGTAATTGGAGCACACATGGGTAACTGTGAGCAATTATGGCTTCTTTTGAGTTATTTAGGATGTTTTTACTTAAACTGTAATTTGTTGGTCTGGTTTGATCTATCTATTTAAGTTTGGTCTAATCTGGTCTGGTCTGGTCTGGTCTCTATGTATTTTATAACAACTGATGGATAGTCTACCCGGGGGTATGTATCCGAAGGGTCACTGCGGGAAGTAACTAGAGAGAAGTCAGAGCAAAAGTAAGAGAGAGTGTGTATTGTTGAGAATGTAATGAGCGATTTTAGCTTGGATCACAAATGGGGAAAAGGGGCGCTATTTATAGTAGTAATAAATGCCAGATATGGACACGTGTCATCATTCTGGTGGTCGAGGGGTCACCTCAACAGGGTGGCACTGACATCCGCATGTTGCCGCATTAAATGCGGCTGTTGGATGTGACGTCGTACTTGGTACGGTGAATCAGGCGCATGTGGAGAGGATATCATGTCGAAAAAGGTGCCCTCGGCTGCAGATGATTAGCCGAGGGCCCTGAGTACCGGGAACCCTCCAGTGCCGAGGGCTCTGGGTGCCGAGGGTTACCGATTTTCGCCGTTTTCTCCCAGTAACTTTGTTTGCTTGAGTTGGCCATCATGTGAGAATTTGGGGCCTTCGGCCAGGGGGGCGAAGGCACCCCCAGTGTGCCACGTGGGTTGCTCAGTACTTGGGGCGCTGTGATTTGGGCCTGCTGTGCTTCCTGGGCCTATTGGGCCTCCCTTAGAATGGTAGGAGTCTATGGGCCGGGAGTTCCTGGGCCATATACTCCATCAGGAGTCCCTCACTCCTTTTGCCGAAAGGTACTTGAGGGAAAAGGAGTAATCTGTGTTTGGCCTTTGGTGTTGTTCCGTTGTAGTTTGTAAAGTTT